GTGAGCTGCTAATTCCCTTCAGGATTGTTTTTTCTCTTTCCCATTAACAACATTTTCAATTAGTATAATCATAAAAAGTTATTTTGTACATGCAACATGTAGTACATGGGTCATGCATTTGTGTCTGCAACACATGACATTGCTTTTTGTACTTTTTGTACTTCTGCAGAAGTACAACAATTTCAGTAGCAGCAATATAAGCATGCAGCAATATAAGCGGCATATTCAGGAACAGAATGCATTCAGCTTAACCTCAAGCTATAATAGCTCAGAGTTGCATTCTCTCCAAAGTTTACTAAAAGGCTCATTAATCACTGCAAGTTAGAAATAATGAGAAACTTAAACCACAATGAAATACAGATTTCCATGAAAATTCATTACATGGAAGAATTATAAACAGCATGTAGTAAGCGTCAATGACTTTTTCATGTTTTTAAACAATATTCACAGATCTAATGAGTTTCCCAACAAGGAAACAGCAACAATGGGCAGAATCGGGACTTCATCTAGGTGCAGTGCCAATTTTCTAAAAACATCTTTCTAAATACCCTGCAATCTGATCTGCACCACCCGTGCCATGCACACTTTGCCTTCACAAATGAAGAACAGTAACTGGGAGTGTTACTGCAAGGCCCACAAGCAGTCAGGTTCAGACTAGTGAAACCCTTTCGCCACCAAACCGGTACCCTGCTTGAACCTAGGTCTGTGGCGGCTCAGAGTCTGCGCTCAAAAGGGCTGCAAGCTCTCTCGGCTGTGCTTTAGATGCTCTTTCAAAGCAGGTTTCCGATTGAGAGCTGATAAGCGAGGCTGGTAGCTGCTAATCCAACCACCGAGCACAATAGACAGCTAATCTGCCTTCTCATTTGGTGTATTGGACTACTTTCAGAGCTTTCGACTGGAAAGTATATAACCTCAATAGCTTCAGTAGTCAGTTATGTGAAATATTTTGCAAAGAAGCGTATCTGAAACAACACATGCGTAGACTTAGACTCCATCACTTGGACTGCATTTTACTTGACTACTGCATGTACATGTTGGAAGTCAAACTGACAACATATACATATAGATGCGTACAGATCTTCAGAATTAAAAGTCTGACTACAAATTTCTCAACATGCATGATGATATGTCTTCTTCACTAACAACATGCAAATAATATATATACTAATTTTACTAGCAGCAATTTTTGCAAATAATGTTTCAAAACCAAACTCATGTACTTCCAATTAGTTTTGGACCTCGAATCCAATGATATTATCATAACTGTCCCTTCCACCTTAAAAACTACAAATCTATTTTTAAGTGAGTTCAGGTAAAGATGAATACTTTTAAACGTAGAAATACTTTTGAAAGCACCAAACTGACTCGTTGTGTGGGTGAGAGCAACTAAAAGAAGATAAGCAATTATGTTTCCTCAAAAACAAATAAAAACTCGATATATAGTTTTTGGCTAAACACACCGAGGCTTTTGCTGCATAACAAAAGCATCAATATAAACAGTTTGGGACAGTTCCCACCTGAAGACCTTTTCTCAAAATACACTTTTAAACGATTAAGTAGGCATAGCTTGAAAAGACCCGAAACCCGCACAAAGCGTGAGGGATATACTGAAGCTCCAGAAGCGCCGCTCCAGCTGGGAGTTTTGAGAGCGAGTCTCACCCCGTCACCACCTCTGGCCCCTCCTGCCGAGACGCGGGTAGCTCCAGGGCTACGCCGGGAGCCGCGTCCTGCGCTTACACACGCGCCGGGAGCCGCTCCAACTCCACAAACCCGG